GACTAAATCACTCAAACTCAGAGAGTTACCAGCAATACACAGTTATCTTTAGCTCTGTATGTTGTTGCATGTTTCTCAGTGAAAGTTGATATGATAACCAAGAGCAAATTCATTAAATTCAAAGCAGCATTTGATGTCATTAGATATTGTTTTGTCAACATTTTTGAGGGAGAAGAAATTTCTTTTGGATTTTCACTTCCAATTGACTACCATTTTCTTTTTCACTTTTGGATACTGTTGTTTAGTATTTTGTCATAAATAACAGTGACACTGTTGCGTCCTAGCAAAGTTTCTCTTAAAAACTTTTTTTTTTTAAGGCTAACCTTATTTCTGATGGAATGAGTGTGTGTCTCCTCGTTTAACAGCCTGTGACTTATTGCTGGAGATGGGTCGAAGCAGTGCCTTAGCACGCGAATGGTATCTTCTAAATTTCTATGGCCGTTTGAGAATTTCAATGTATTAGCTCTTAATTTGGCATGACCTAGTTCTTGTTTAATTATTCAACTGGAGAGGAATTTCAGCAAGTCGAAGCTCTACAAAGCTGAGTAAGACCTTTCCTCAGCACTTGAAGACTATTAAACATTTATTGGTGCTAACATGCATGCGCTATACAATCTACAACATGGTCCAGCATTTGAGATACCTACAAACCCAGCACTTGTTTTTTAAATTGAAAATACATCATCCAAAGCATAACTTGATGAGGAACACTAAAGAAATAATTCAGTGTTTTAGGTATTCAAAATAGATCATTTCAGCTTAATCTAGTTAAAATAGCAATATACACTATGCTGTAATCATGTCTTATGCCATTTACTGCTACCTAGTTGCTTTGAAGTCTCTCATACATGTCTATATTCCTTAATTTCAAAACCAGTTAATTGTTTTGCATTTATTTTAAAATATATTTTGCTGGCATCTTATTTGATAATTTTTTTTCCCTATGAGTTTAGAGTTTTTGGTGGTGGTGGTTTTTTAGCTTTTAAGAGACAGACAAACCTGCTAAGCCATTCTTAAGACTATAAAACGTGTTGCAGCTGCAACCTCCGTCAATGTTCCTGCTTATTCCTGGAAATGGCTTCTATATTCTAGGCTACAAAGATATCTGTAATAACATGCTTGAACCTGGTTATGCAAATGCTATGCTGTTTATTACTGTTTAAGCATAGTTGCCAATTGAACAAATAAGTGATATGCTGCTGGCACTTCAGTAGCTGCTTTAAGAGGAGGAAAAATTTTTAATTCCTAGATATTTTAGTGAGCAGTGTATAAACCCTTTAAAAGCATAGAAAGATCTTTACTAAAGCAAGTACAAACTGATCAGGAGCAGTATCAATGTTCGCTTTTGTCATGGTGGGGAATTTTATTAAAAAAATAATTTAAAAAAGCTATTTACAAGCAGCTAGAAGAAAACAAGGAGATGAAGCCAGTCTGGATTACAAATGAACTGAACTGTCAAACCAATGCAATTTCATTCTGCAGCACAGTAACAGCCGTTCTGGCTACAGGAGAAGCAGTCGATGTCACATTTCTTGTTTTGAGTTTTTGACACTGTTTTATAAACATACGGGGGAAACGAAGTCTAAATTAAATATGTAGTAAATCAGAAAACTGTCCTTGGAAAGTACTTAACCACTGGTCCAAAACTTTAAATTTACCAATAGTGTGAAGCTGGGATGGATGTAGAATATGTTAATGGCTAAAACTCTTAATTCCTATTCAGAGTGATCTTGATATATTAGAGAAAAAGAAATCTGAGAAAAACGAGAAATTCAGTGGAGAAAAATGTGGGACTATTCCTCTGTGGAAATGATCAACGGAACAGTTTAGTAGCAATTTTGTTGAAAAATAAGTTGAAAAATAAGTCTATGAACTATTGTGCATGGTCAGATTCTGGGAGTCAACACATGCTACTGAAAAAAAAAAAAAAAAAACCTTTGAAGAAGTGAATTAACAAGGAGCAGATGAAGAAAAGCTTTATAGGGTTGTTGGTGCTTCTTTTGCTTGGTAGTGGTGGGGGTACAGTACTTTAAGTAAGTTTTGGGCAATCTACATCTACAGAACTGGAATTTCTGAAGAGACTGTGCAGAAGGCTAGTAAGAATGGCTCAAAGTCAAGAAGAAGAGTCTCACAGGAGAAGATCAAAGTGGTATTTTTAATTTTGCAGCAGTGAAGACTAAAGTATAGCATGGTAGCATTCTTCAAAGGCATAAACAGGTCATTGAAAGATGAAATAGCCATCCTTTCTTGAATTCCACAGGAGATGGAAAGAGAAGGAGTACACTTGTGAACAGAAAGATTCAGCTCAGACATTGGGAAGACCTTTCCCAACTGTAAGGAGAACATAGTTGAATAGGATATCTGATGAATCTCTGGTTTGCATCAATGCAGGTCTTAAATAGATGGTTAAGAAAAAAGTTATGTTGGGAAAGACACAAAGATAAGCCAGTCCTGTCCAGAAGTGTAGAAGAGACTAGATGATCCTTTCAGAGGTTCCTTGGAGACTGTGGTATGGTAACAGGTCATAGCAGGTTTTTTTCCTGAGGCACTAACCTAAATGTTGTTTTTTACAGAACATTTACAGAAGTTCATAAGTTTCAAGGAAGTTATCTTCAATAAAGGGTCTAGACTTTCCTCCTGAAATCTCTGTATATTGATAAAAGACATTTAGTGCATGCATGCTCAGATATATTAGGCAGTCTTAGAATATGCATGGCTGTTGTGGAATGGAACATGAATCTTTATATAATAACTCCAGAAATGCTCCCTTAGAGCAAAAGCAGGGATTTTTGGCAAGATGGTCAATTAATTCCTTGTACTATTGGAAAGATTTTATCTCTTGGCGTAGAAATTCCCCGTAATTAACCTACAGATAGGTCTCCTCAAGAACAGTTCCTTAGGAACCAGCTTGAATTTCCACTCAATACAGATGTGCTGCAAGGATGAATGCCTGAGGTTATGTTTTTCAGAAGTGTTCCGCTCTCCCTGGTCAGTCTGGGAGCGCTCATCATGGAATTAAGTGGAGAAAATGTTACACTGGTACTGATCCTTTGTGAAGATGTCATCTCTAATGTCTAAAGTGTTTTGCAATATTTGTGACCATAGCTATGTAGGCATTTGTGCAGAAGGATAGTCATAGCATGCTTACTCATAAAACAAAAAGTTGTCAGCCATGGATATTGGCTGTGTCTTTTGAATTGCGTAAAAAGTGAAGGGCATGCAAAGTGATGCAGGTTTTCCTGAGGCAATACATAAAAGTTTCCTATGGAAACATGCTGAAATATTTTTTAACAAAGTATAGTTATGAGACTTGGGAGTATTTTTGATTCTCTTTGCTTCATGCTGCAATGTCTTAGCCTCTATAGGAACAGCAATATGAATGTCAAAAAGCTGCTACTAAGTCTTCTGCCTCAGAAAACCTGGATGGTTTAAGATTGGTCTTTTATTGCAAATGAATGCCAGAACTAGATTCTTTGAACAATACCTTGGAAAGTGGGACAGAGATAAAACAAGGGAGAATGTATATTCCAAAATAACTTTTAAAATGAAGCACAATTGATGCTATTCTTAGAATCTTTCTCACATAACTGCTGCTTAGTTACTGTACCATGACTAGTTTGAGGGGGAAAAAAAAAAGAACAAAATTTCAAGTGCACTAATTGCAGTGTAAGTTAAAGATTTTCTTGAAGTAACACAGTGTGTGTGTGTGTGTGTGTGTGTATATATGTATATATATATATGGAGCAAGTAATGAAATACCTCCCTCCTTTCTTTCTCTTTTTTCCTTTTTTTTTTCTTAATGTGCACAGTATTAGATCACTAGGGATATAGATTTTAAGTAGCTTGCTGCAACAGTTTTTCCCAACTCATTTAGATGTAGCTTTCAAAAGTTTAAATGTTTAAATTTCAAACTCTCAAATATTTAAACTTTAGATGTTAAAAGATTTAATGTTTATCTGACAAACTTGTGGGAGATGTGTTTTGTGACAATTTAAGGTATGAAGCTTTCTCTTATAGTCAGGTTCAAAACTCAAGCTTGTCTAGTGACTAAGCTTCTAAAAACATGCACAGCTTGACTAGTGCTGTTCTTCAGCCACAAGAGCAGCTCCCAGTGAGCTGTTTCTTGGCATGACCTCTAGAAATTACCTAGTGTAGTCAGTCGTGAAACAGGCAGAATATTTTCTTTATTCTACTTTTCATACTGAGAAATGTCTTTGAATACATGTGAGCAAGGAATTAAACTTGGTCCCACAGGCTTCTTATCCTCCCCAGCTCAGTGTTCGGAGCAGGGGAAAATGAAGCATCACACTAGGTGGAAGTGATATCTGTAGTGATCTGTTTGTTCATAAACAGCCAAATGCCTCAATTTAAACAATTACAAATGCACGGTAAATCTGCTGCTAGCATGCTGGGATCTTCCTTACAGTGTCCCCCCTCCCCACCCGCCCTTGGCAGCTGGACTGAATTACTGCTGTGCTCTGGCAGAGCATCTGAGCATGTACTTAACTCACAAGTACACTATGAAGTACCTAGATTCAAGGGACACTGGAAGTTGAACACGGTCTGAGCTTAACTGAAGCACAAAGTTATTCACAAAAGATGTTCTTTACATTTTATAATAATGTAGAAGTGTTAAAAGTTAGATGCTATTAAAGCAAAATTCTTGTGTTATCAAATAATATGCTCTTAAAAATCTGCAAATATGGAATATTTTGTTTATTATGGTCTTTAAAAAAACCTTTCTTTTATTTAAACAAATATTTTAAGGAAAATACCCCCAATAAACACCTATAAATAAGCATTTTTCAGTGTTGACTTGTTAAATATAAATTATTAGTACTGTTTTAGAAGGTTTTATTTGCATTCGAGATGTGTCTTTCACTGAAATCAGCCAGGTAGATGTGCTATGCATCTGCAGTTTTTATGAGATATCTTGTATAGTCTGTATGATTTTCCTATGTTTTATGTAAAATGTTTTTTCATTATTATTTTTATGGCAGGCTACATATCAAAACAGAACGGGGAACCAAAGCCTCAACACATGGGACATAAAGTCAGCACATACACCTACCGAGGACCCTTTTAGATGTTCCTCAGGCAGCCCAGCAGCAGCCTACGAAAGCAAGAGCTGTCAGCTGTCCAACTTGTGCCTGAGTAACCTCTTGAAAGAGAAGGAAATCGTGGAGGCCCTCAAGCAGACGCGAGGCCCGTATGAAGCCTTCGCCGCGGAGGTGACGCCCAATGGCTTGGCCGTGGCGCAAGGCCCGGCCTTCCCGGGAGCGCCCAAGGAGCACGCGGGGCTGCCGCGGCAGCACAGCACCTTCACCGGGAGGCTCGGCCAGCCGCCCCGGGGACCCATCTCCCTCCACATGTACAGCAGAAAAAACGTTTTCCTCCACCACAATTTGCACACGGCAGAGCTGCAGACTTTAGGTCAACAGGATGGGTAACAGGGTTCTTGAATGCTTACCGTGGAAGGAGGATTGATTAACTGGGAACATAAACTCTTCTACAGCTTCGTCTTAAGTTTTCATCTGCTGCTACTTTTACCTGGAGGAAGAAAAAAAAAAAGTTCGTCTATTCCATACTTTCTAATTTGGGACTGTGGCAGAGGCATGAACTAGATTGTTAAACAATTAAGGCGATTCATTGTGCAATTTGGCTGACATGGGTAATCCAAAGTTGGCTAAATTTTTTTTTTCTTTCTTGGTTCTCTAAACCACTAAAACCCACTGAAGTTTGGGAAGGCGGTCGTGAATAATACTGTGTACATTTAATAATGTTACTGTAAAAGTAGATGTGAGGATTGAATAGATAAGTAATT